AATTCGCATAAGTTTGCAATTATTTGGTTTATGCATTGAAATGTTTTATGCATTTGGAAACCCGTGAGCTCACCAACTCTTTGTAGTTGACCTTGTTTTATTTCATGCTTTTCAGGATTTAAGTAAGGTTGGTTGAATATGTTTTGGGAGCATACTCGTGGCAAGATCGATTAAGTCCGAAATTGAAGTATTTTGAGAAGAGTTGTATTCATTCTAATTTCGGTTATGTCGATAAACTTGATTTGTTTTTGCACAACTCGGAATGGTGTTATTTATTAACTGTTGCTATGACTCGCTTGCCTGTTACATCTCGTGTTTCCGCTTTAGTGGGGTGTGACATGCTTGAGTGCAAGTTGACTGACTTGGGTTTCCAGATTTCTGATAGCAGCACTTTGCTGATTAAAAAGAGATTGAATTTGAGAGTTTTGTTGGGTTATCAAAGCTTGATTTTGAGCTTGAGCATGTGCAAATAACCCTTTTATCATTGCTTCCAAAGAAGATGATAAATCAGCCTGTGGAGGTGGCTTGTTTTGAAAAGGTGGTTGAGCAGTTTGAAAATTTTGGTGATGATTTTGGGAACTACTCGCATGTTGTTGGGGTAGAAAATTAGAGGTTCCTTGCTGCTTAGGTGCGGGTGGATTTAAACATGGACTGTTCCAAGAAAAATTCGGGTGTTGTTTCCAACTTGCATTGTAATTGTTGGTATTGGGACTAGATCGATTATGAACAAAGTTTATGGATTCAGAATTATAAGGACAATGTTCATACAAGTGTTCCCCACCACAACAAACACATTGCACTGAGAGGACTTTTGGAATAGGTGTAGTAACAGCTGGCTGCACTCCTTGGTTGTGCTGTTAATGCAGTGTATGCATCTACATCGTGAATTCCAGCAGTCTTCTTTTGCGGTTGAGCACATGGATCAGCCTAGTGCCCATTTTTTGCCGATATCTTTTCCAGGATTTCATATCCTTCATTATAGGTACTGGCTGTAAAGGTTCCGCCTGCAATCGCATCGAGCATTTGCTTTGCCATAGGACTTAACCCATTGTAAAACGTCTCGAGTTGAATACAATATGGAATGTCATGGTGTGGGCATTTCCTCAACAGCTCTTTGAACCTTTCCTACGCGTCAGGAATAGCTTCATCATCCAGTTGTTTGAAAAGACAGATTCCATTCCTGCATTTAGCATTCCTTGTTGGTGGGAAATATTTTCGCAAAAAAATTTCCGCCATATTACTCCAAGACGGCACAGAACCCGGTGATAAAGAGTTAAACCATGTTTTTGCCCGATCCCTCAATGAAAATGGAAATAAAGTGAGTATGAGAGCGTCATTGTACACTCCGGGGATCAAGAAAGCATCAGTGATTTCCATAAAAGACTTTAAATGTGAATGTGGGTCCTCCGAGAGTAATCCGACAAATTGGCCATTCGTTTGCAACATGTGAAACATTATCGATTTTTGTAACACCCCCTACCACACATTGCATGTAACACATACTTCAAACATAAAAAATACATGTTTATACACCACATTGGTCTTTTAGTACAAGAATCTACCAGTACAAAATACATGGTCCAAAAATTCAAAATACAATTCATATACTTATTCAACATTCATCTACCAAAATTATACATATCATAGACAAATCTTCAGGCAGATATGCACATAGGGAATTATCACATTTTCCCCTTTCCCTTATGTTAGACCCCATAATCCATGAAGTGTAAAAGTAATGAAAAACAATAAGTGATGCAGAACCAGAAGACCGATGAAGACATCAAGGCAGAATTGACCAAGTCTGGAGAACAACCAGAGGGTCGATGAACAACTAGAAGCGTACGATGAAGATATGAAGATATGAACAACCAAAAGTGATGGAAAGAGCATCTTCATCACCCCTCTGGTCAACAACACTTAGAGTTTTCTTC